ATAAGTACGGAGTTGGTAGTGTCGTATACTTCGTTTTAATGATTTATCATCGCAACGTTTGTTTGGTCGGATCATTTAACAAAATCTCCCAAAAATTAAAATTTATTTTCCTCAGAATTTCGAAAAATACTTCAAATAAAAGTTGTTTTTCTTCGAATTTCGATATTTAATGAGTTACATATGATTATATGGCATTTTATTGATGTTGACAAAATCCGACCATTCCAGCGTCGAAACAGCGAACTTTTGGAAAAAAATTTCGTTTTTTCTCAATAACTCCTAAACCCTTAGAGATACGGAAAAATTGCATAGAACCTCTCTTGTAGAGGACGACGAGATCTACAATTTCTGTATAAAAGTTTGTCGCTAGCATTAATAGTTTACGAGTTATTGACGAAAAACGAAAAAACAGTTTTTTGCAAATAACTCGTTAACTCTTGACGCTAGGGGAAAACTGTTATACAGAAATTGTAGATCTCGTCGTCCTCTACAAAAAAGATCTGATGCAATTTTTCCGTAAGTCAAACGGTTTGGGAGTTATTGGCAAAAAACGAAAATTTCGCAAAATCTGAAGGGGTACCCCTTGGAAAAATCTCGGAAAAATCGAAAATTTTTTTTTCGCGAAATTTCGACAAATGCTTCGAATAAAAGTTGTAGGTGATACTATTACCTATGAAAAATTTGAAATCACTATAATTTTAGCTTTTTATTAGTAATAGGAATATATAATAACAAATTCTACATGCTGGCATCGTTTAAATATATAGCCTATACATCCTTAACGAATGGAGTTAGAAGGAAATTAGAATTGATGGTGACACTGTTTTCAAATTCACACTTCTATTCAAATGTATAAAATCTAAATATGACGCATTAGTGTATAAAAACGGGCTTCTCGTATTTTCATCTATCATCTATCTGTTAACTTATTTCGGTTAGTTTGTTGGAAGTGATATGGGAATCCCGAATTTGACGAAACGTCAGTCATTTGGCAGCGAAATGTATGCCGTCCCTCTTTTTTTTTCGGACAGTTTCCGTCGTTCTGGAAAGACGATGCTTGACGATAAAAGCGTCAGGACGCTTTTCGTCACGGGCCACGGGACAAAAAGGGCCACGGGTGCCTGTATCTCGTCTAAAGCCCCGGCATTCTTTATCGTGGAAACGATGACAAAAGCCCGGCCAGAGGCTGAAACCCCGCCATGCAAAAAAAATCGTCAAAAACTGTACGAAAAGCTTCCCGTCGCCAAGCGATTCTGATCTCGATTCGGCTAACTTTTTCTTTCTCCCCCTTGCAGTTCCCCATCGCTTGTGTCCTACTTACGTATCGTACAACGACAGATTCGATCGACATAAATAAAACGCCACACGTGTCTATTATAACGTTCGTCATTATGTGTCTCTATAGTAATTAATGTAGATTTCACATGCGAACATAACTGCTTTCTCAGATCAAGTGTCGTTCTAATTCTTTTTTAAAAAACATGAAACGCGTTCACAATTTAACGTTTAACGTTACCTAAATTGTCGTACTTAAATATAAGAGTGACAATTTTTGGATCAAAGAACTCGAGCACCAAATACGATTTTTGTTTCATACGTTTTTCAAATCGTTGCAAGCCGCGAAACTGTCGAAAATGTTTCAACTCTAATAAATCTTCGTGTGTATATACATATATATATCCAGCCGTTCGTCACCGATTTTCGAACTTCGTACGTAGTTATATCCACCATCTGAATTTCGAAACTTGACAGGGAATCTGTTATTTTGATTTTTTAAACGGGAGCACCGCTCCAGCCATTCGAGATGATTGATCCTCGAGTTTTCATTTAAAAAAATACAAATTTACGACCGATATTTTTTATATATCTCGCAGAATTTTTTTTGCAAACATTTCTCTCTGTGCAATTTTTAAAACGTTCGTCTATGGCGTTTATGCATTCTAACACGTATTTTTGTTGTACACAGTATATGTTACATGTGTGCATAAAATTGCACATGAGTGGTCTGCACAGTCGAAGGCAGATTCAGTTCATGATGTTTTAATTGCTTAATTAAATTTTCATTCGTCTCTCGGTAATATCGAAATCCAATATTGGCCCAGTTTTTCCAACGAGAACATCGCGAATTTTTCTAATAAAAATTGAAGAGGACCGCGGACAGTGTTTCGCGAAATTAGGCCCGGTGGAAAGGAGCGAAAGGGTTGAGATCGATAAGGAGCGGATATCGAGGCACGTCCTCTCGATTTCCGGACTCGGCTGAAAGCGTCGGCGACGACGAGGTCCGAGATATCTCGGACGTTATCCGCAGATGCTCGTTTCCCTCGACTTTCTGACTTCCTGGTCACGTATCCGGTACCCGGGCTCTTCCACGTACCGAGACATCGTCGAATTAATTCCCAGCCGCCTGTTACCAACCCATTTTTTCCTTATCCGACGAATCTGGGTCACGGTGTTATATTCTCATCAATAATTGTACACACGATCCGATTCTGTCTATATTTATTAATACATCAGATGCTTCTTATTATAAAAATAATCCAACTTCGTTTCGTTGTGAAAAAACGAATTAGTTAAGTTAAATATATTTTATAATTTTAATCATAATAACATCTTCCTTAAAACACCTCTAAATCTAAAATTTCATAAAACATAAAGCCAGATCCCAATCGGGATTAAAATTAAACGGCGACTTCTCTGAAAATTTTCGAGAAGTCTTGGCAAAAGTAATTTGCATGATAGTCCTAGCGGTGTATTCCTACTTTTACTTCTACAAAAAGTTCAGAAGACCGACGGTGTTTCGCGAACTTCCTCGAATATTTTCCCGCGGATTTTCCGCTTCGCTCGCGTCGCAAAAGGTCCCCGTTGAACGCGTAAAGAAGTTGCCAGCCGAATGAGATGGCACGGCCGAGTTTTATCGATCCCGATATTAGACCGATTTAGTCGTAAAGTTCATTTTTATAGTCGGAAGTTAAACGTTATCTCGTCCCACCATAAAACGGAGCATATTAGCTCCTTTCATGTAAACAATTTGGAATTCGTTGGTAGAATATTTTACGCAATTTATATGAAACAGTTTTAGATAATTTTATTAAAAAAAAAAAAACTTTCTATTTCGTAACTCATCGCAATTATTTATTGATTAATTTAATAACTCGGTAGATTCTTTCAATTGAGACGATATTTGACATTTATTAGATTTTTTCGTACACAATGGACAGTTGTAAGCGTTCTAAGACTTCAGAATCGGAGTATATGCGATCTTGGTAATTAGTACTCGTGACGTTCTTCGATAATCGATACGCCATCGAGTAGGGGACGCGATTTGAGTCGCAGCAAGGAATTTCTTTTCGCGGCAGTCGGTAGGCACTCGTTGGGAAACTAGAGGGAGAAGAGAAAAAGGGAGCGAGAGACGAAAATCGAGAACTCCGAGGGCAATTATTCGGTCGGCACTCGAACGGCACGCGGAAAATTAAACGATTCGAGGGCACTAGAAATAAATACTTTGCCCCTTTCGTGGCACCTACTCCCCTCGAGGGTGCTGGCGGAATTATGAGACCATTCAAAAAGAGAAACTCGGTTCTGACTTCTGTACACGTCTTATGCAAATCTGACACGTAGCTCATAGTAAAACGCAAAACTAATATAGAACAGCGACTATCTTCGCTGAGAGACCTTTTTCGTCGCACGTGGATTGCGGATTTTTATGCAAATTAAACCATTCATGATAAACGCGCATAACAATTTCTTTTACATTTAAACATTGCAATGTAGATTCGCTCTTGACGTCTCGTCGCAGAATATCTGCGGGCGAATTATTAAAGATTCCTTAATTATCGAGCTCGAACACTTTTGCTCGGAGTCTGCAAAATTATTTCTACTCACCACGGAAACGCCTTGTTAGAAGTACCTGTAAAAAAAAACGCGAAGAACTGAATACTTCCGTCTGGAGTTTTTAACAATTTACGTTGTTTGGACGACAGCCTAGCCGCGGCTATACAAATACTAAAACATGGAACTATTGTTTATACGGCGCAGGGAAAGCCAGGGTAGCAAACAACGCATTTGTCTTCGGGTTGGGGAAAACGTGGAAATTTATCATTCGCCGCGGCGACACGCGTGTTCCTTCTTTTATCAGACCGTCTTCCTCGAATTGATTTAACTGGTTTTGTAACATCCAACATCGAATAGGGAATAGAGGTAGAGAGAGAGAGAGAGAGAGACAGAACGTCCTCTTGATTGACAGTCGAATGGATTACGAATGATTTATTCCCCAGAATACCGAACACCAGAAGAACGAACCCGATGAATCGATAGTGACTTGGGACCGAACGTCTGATCTCCCAAGGAATTCATAGGGATCGGAGAAAATTCATAGAACTCTCACTTGCAATTCGTCGTGAAACCGATGATACGAAAAGAAGTATGATTAGACTGAGAGTTTTATGTATTTACAAATAAATACATAAATGTTGTACTCAATGCATATCGTGTATCAAAGTGCACGTTAATGATAATTTCTTAACACTAGATATTGCCCAAGGAAATCATTTTGATTGCTTTTGGGCAAATGTACAAATAATAATGTATAAA